CCAACATCTCCATCGCCGCCGCTGAGTCGATCGCAAACGCCACCAGCACGACAGTCATCACAATCACAACAATCACCATCACTAGCACCAACACCACGCCCACCAACATCACCAACGGCATCATCAGCATCATCAACATGCTCATAATAAGCACAATCGTCACCTCATCACAATCATCATCATCATCATCAACATCATCATCATCATCATCATCATCATCATCATCATCATCACCACCATCATCATCATCATCATCATCATCACCATCATCGTCATCATCATCATCATCATCATCGTCATCAGCATCATCATCACCACCACCATCATCATCACCATCATCATCAGCTAATTAATCGTAATCGTCACCATCAGCATCAACGTCATCGTCAACATCATTGTCATCATCACCACCCCATCATCATCATCATCAGCAGCATCATCATCAGCAGCAGCATCATCATAATCGACATCAGTAGCAGCATCACCATCAGCATCAACATCATCATCGTCAGTATTGGCATCATCGTAGCCGGCATCGTCAGAATCATAATCAGCATCACCACCACCACCACCGTCATCATCAACACCACCACCACCGCCGACACTACCAAAAAAGCCATCATCCTAATCATTATCGCCACCACTACCGCCATCATCTTCACCGCGACCATCACCACAAGCATGTTCATTAACCTCATAATCGCCATCCTCAACATCATGATCATTGTCATCATCGTCGCCATCAGTATCACCATCAACATCAACAACCATATCCACGTCAGCATGACGATCATCATCCTCCTCATCATCCTCCCCCGCATCACCATCATCATCATCAGCATCATCACCACTATTATCGTCATAAGCATCATCATCATCACCATCATCATCACAATGGTCATCGTCAGCAGCAGCATTCTCATCACCGTCACCATCACCATCACCGTCGTCACCACCGTCATCGTCATCATCGTCGTCATCGTCGTGAGCACCAGCATCGTCTTCGTCGTCATCATCGTCATCCGTATCCCTCTTGGGGCCGTCTCGGACCATCAAGGAGATATCTTGGCCGCCTCGGAGGTGTTTGGGGGGGGGTCAGCAGCTCCTCCCAAGAGCCTATTGGGCCTGTGTTGAATCTGTTGGGGCCCTCGAGGGCCTCCTGGCGTCCGCTGGAGACCGTCGTAAGGTCCTCATCGGCCGTGTTGGGATTTCTCTTGAGGGTCTCTTGGGCCGCAGTGCGACCTTTTCAGATAAAGATAGCGGGAAAGGCAAAATCGCAACAATACAAAAATGCCACACATGATAAGTACCAGTGAATGTTGGCAAGTCCATGGGGGGCATTCCTGGGACAATCTCGGGGCAAACTGGGGGGATCTTCGACTTTCTTGGTGCTAATTGTCCTTGGCCGTCGAGGGAGCGTCTTCGGGGTACCGCAGCCCCCGCAAGACTCTCTCGGGGCCGTTTGGGAGCCCTCTTGAGGCCCGCTCGCTTGATGCCCTCGATGGTGCCCTCATGGGCCGCCTTGGGGTGATATTGGAGGGCTTTGGGACCGTTGCGGACGCTGCTGAGGCCGAAAGGGCGTCTGCTCCTGGGGCATCTCGGGGGTCCTTCTGAGGCACGCGGCTCATTGTTTTTCCTCACATTCCTGTATTTCTTCCTCGTTGTCGTTCTCCTCCTTTTGCTCGCGGTCGAGAACTTCGGCTTCGCAAAAAAAAGTCGTGGGGCCCTACGCGGAACCCTGAACAGTGGGACACACGCGTCTCGGAGGAACGCGCGGGGCCAACTATGGATCCAGCGTGGACCCACAGCCTGCCCATGGGGACTCCAACAGAGAGTATCGTGTCAGGTGCAAGCCATGGACAAGCCCAGACAGGACCACGGGCAAACACCACTACGCGCCGACAGCTCTGCAGCACGAAAATCATGAGCAGCCGCGGTAGCGGTCGGAAGCTGTGCGGCGAGAGTATCGTCTCAATCGAGTTCTCGAGTGCGAGAGTCCAGTCGATGACGAAGCCATCCAGCAACCGTGTCGCATCACAGTCAGGGGCGATGCCGTGGCTTGGCGCAGGTTGGGCCCGAGCCAGGAGGACGACACATCCTCATCCTATCTGACGGCCTGCACTGGCATGATGGGTGCCCCGCTAGTGCTCCGCACGCCCCCTCTCCCAAGCGCGGACGCGGCTCCGGGCCCCCCCCAGGCTTTCCTCGTGCGTCGCTTCTCTTTCCGCTGTCTTGTGGTAGCCTAAGTGTCGGGCGGGTGCCATGGTGATGGCGCACATCTTGCCGGGTGGGCGCGCCTAACCCGCTGCACGGGCCGCCGTGTTCGTTACCTGCTTCTCGCCCTGACGTATCTCTGACCCTGGGCAGCAGTCGGCGGCGCGCCCAAGGGGTAAGGCAGAGGGGGCGGGCCTTCTCTAAAGCTGTCCACGCCTTCTCCCGAGACACGGACGGCTTCTCAGAAGGCGCGCGGGCTTCTGAGAAGGCCTGCTCCCTCTAACCTCCTCCTTCGGCACGCTGCCGAATCAGAGCTCCATGTGATAAGTTGCGTCGGAGTTCGGCTTTATCCAACATCACTCCTCCTCCTCCTCCTCGTCAGGCGGATGTCGCGCGCTGTGGGAACATGGATCCACCCCACAGCAGGCAGCGTCTGATCATCGTCATCATCGGCACCACCACCATCACTGTCAGCAGTGTCCAGACGTGACTGCGATGCGCAGGCGAATGTGCTCCCGCGTGCTCGTGATGTTACCCCATTTGCTGCGAAGATGTTAAGTGTGAGCATTTACTGCGGGTGCTTCAAACCGACGGGGCAAGCACCTGCCACTGAGCATCGCCCGTGGGCGAAGTCGCCGGACTGATTGCCATGCCCATGACTATCATCATAACCATCATCATCATCCTTACCGTTATCCTCATCATCTACATTAGCAGCAACATCAGAGTCAGCAGCATCGGAATCAGCATCAGCATCAGAGTCAGCATCAGCATCAACATCAGCACTATCAGCATCATCATCATCGTCATCATCAGCATCATCAGCATCATCATCACCACCACCATCATCATCATCATCACCAGCATCATCATCATCATAATCATCAGTATAATATTCATCATCAGCATCATCATCATCATCACCAGCATCCTCATCATCATCCACATCCTCATCCTCCTCATCATCATCATCATCAGTATCATCGTCATCATCATCATCATCATCATCATCATCATCATCGTCGTCATCATCATCATCATCATCATCATCATCATCGTCAGCATAATCATCACAACCACCATCGTCATCATCATCATGAGTAGCATCAGCATCAGCATCATTATCATCAGCAGCATCATCACAACATCATCAGCAGCATCAACATAATCATCAGCGTCATCGGCATCACCATCACCATCACCATAGACAGCATCAGCATCATCATCATCAACAGAACATCATCAATATCCTCCTCCTCATCATCATCATAAACATCATCATCGCATCCTCCGCCTGCTTCTCTTCCTCCTCATTCCTCCCCATCCGTTCCTCGTCATGCGTTCCATTTTCCCCAACCTATGACGTGTCCCATATATGGCAAGGTGCCCGCCAATGCAACATCACTTGACACGTGCAGCCTCCGAAGACCAACCACGCGCGAACTCTCACTCTGGAGCCCCTCAGGAGGCTCACGACAGCCCAAATGAGCAGCGGATCAAAAAAAACACCATACGATACCACAATTATTTTGCTGAGTGATCCCCACCGAAACCTTCGGCGTTATCCCGAAGGTGCGCGCGCTCATTGGAACGATGCCCGCGGGGCGCGGTGGTCTCGGCCAGTGTTACGTCATGGTATGTTATGCACTGTTATGTTATGTTACGTATGCTCCGATCCGTCATAGCATGCGTTGTTATGCTGTGCTGTTGCCGTGCTATGATATGATGTGTCATGTTATGTGATGATGTTGCACGTTCTGATTTGATATGTTCAATTAAATTATGCGTTGATTTGGTATGGTATGCTTGATTTGTCATCTAGTGGAATGGTATGTGCTGTGATGCTATGCCATGGTATGCCCTGCTCTGTCATGGTGTGGTGTGTTACGATATGGTCTGTCATGATATGGTATGTTTGCTCGGATGTGTTATGTTCGGTGGTGTGGTGTTATGCCCTGTTCGGTGGGGGACCTGGGGATCTGGCAGCCGCGGTATGCAGAGTGGGGGCGGCGCGTGGGGCGGGACCAGGGATTATCGGGAGCCGGGGGATGGCGGCCGCGGTATCCAGGGCGGGCGGGCCGGGAGGTCTTTTCTTGAAATCGGACGATCCCAACGTGTTGGTTGGGGAAGTTAGGAACAGAAGCCCTGGCAAGCCGTGGAGAAGAAGCATCACGATTGAAAGCTGTGGATGTCAACAATGCCGATCGATGTTTTTGGCTCGTGGCCCCTAGGATACCAGAGGAACGCTGAATGCACCAATAGAGCTCCTCCTCATCCTCCTCTCCCCCCTTTCCTCCTCCTCCTCCTCCTCCTCCTCCTCCTCCTCCTCCTCCTCCTCCTCCTCCTCCTCCTCCTCCTCCTCCTCCTCCTCCTCCCCCTGCTCCTCCTCCTACTCGTCCTCCTCCTCCTCCTCCTCCTCCTCCTCCTGGACCAATGGCGAGGAGCATGGCAGAGGGAACGGGTTCTACCCAGGACGGCTGCACATCCCAGCGAGCGACACCCTGGACGTCCAAGAGAGAGCGCAGCCGTACAGAGCCGAGCGTTGCCCGTGCCAGCTCTCCACGGCGCCACCCTGTGTAGTAACATGACGACTACCTACCAGACCACCCCAACCGCCCGAATTTCGCGTTGGGGGGTACGGGCTTAATACGTGTTTTGTCAATGTTCCCCGATCCCCCCCCACCACTAAAAATTGAGGGCAAATCGGGGCCTTCGGGTTGGGTTGGGGTGGCTTGGTGGGCGGTGATAACATGACAGGGATACCCCTCACCCCTGCTCTACATATCCTCTGCGCCGCCGCCTCCTGCTCCTCCTGCTCCTGCTCGTTGCCCTGCAGACTCTGTCGGCGGCTCCTCAGGCGGGAATACTGCTGGACGATGGCCCTCTCTGGCGGCGCGCACAAGGGGGTAGGGGGAGGGGGGAAAGCTTCTTAGAAGGAGGCTGATTCTGAGAAGACGCCGGCCCTACATCTGCAGTCAAGACCCGCGCCTTCTGAGAAACAGGGGTGCGTCTGAGAAGCCTTCCTCCCTCCCTCTACTCTTCGGTCGGGCATGTCCCCCTACAGACGGATTTTGGACGAAACCTACAAAAATAGTCAGAACACATACTCCGAAATAGCCAAAAATGGTCGAACCAAATCGTCCCTGGAATAGTTCCCCACATGCTTAGTGGGGTTTGGGTTTTCTTCCTTCCCGCGTCGCACCCGCGTCTCCTCCTCACCCCTCCTCCTCCTTCTCCTTCTTACACAGCACAGCACAACACAGCGCAGCGCAGCACAGCACACCACAGCACGGCTCAGCACAGCACAGCACAGCACAGTTTTGGTTTTCATCCCTGCAGCGTCGCACCCGCGTCTCCCACTATAGGAGGTGCGCACGGGGTGATCCCCGAGCCCGGCGTCTATGCGGGCCATGGCGCAGGGAATAGCAGGCGTGGTACATTCTCTAGACCATACGGGGGTGCGCAGGGGGTGGTCCCCGAGCGCGGCGTCTATGCGGGCCATGGCGCAGGGCACAGCAGGCGTGGCATTTTCTCCACACCATAGGGGGTGCGCAGGGGGTGGTCCCCGAGCGCGGCGTCTATGCGGGCCATGGCGTGGCATTTTCTCGGCACCATAGGGGGTGTGCAGGGGGTGGTCCCCGAGCGCGGCGTCTATGCGGGCCATGGCGCAGGGCATAGCAGGCGTGGCATTTTCTCGACACCATAGGGGGTGCGCAGGGGGTGGTCCCCGAGCGCGGCGTCTTTGCGGGCCATGGCGCAGGGAATAGCAGGCGTGGCACTTTCTCGACACCATAAGGAGTGCGCAGGGGGTGGTCCCCGAGCGCGGCGTCTATGCGGGCCATGTCGCAGGGCATAGCAGGCGTGGCATTTTCTCGACACCATAGGGGGTGCGCAGGGGGTGGTCCCCGAGCGCGGCGTCTTTGCGGGCCATGGCGCAGGGAATAGCAGGCGTGGCACTTTCTGGACACCATAAGGAGTGCGCAGGGGGTGGTCCCCGAGCGCGGCGTCTATGCGGGCCATGTCCCAGAGCATAGCAAACGTGGCACTTCCTCGACGCCAGAAGGGGTGTGCAGGGGGTGGTCCCCGAGCGCGGCGTCTATGCGGGTCATGGCGCAGGGCATAGCAGGCGTGGCTCTTTCCCGACACCAGAGAGGGTGCGCAAGGGGTGGTCCCTGAGCGCGGTCGCTATCCGTGCCGGTCGTCCAGGCCGTTGCTGTCCGTGATGGTCGTCCTGGGCATAGCAGTCACGGCATATTCTCGACACCACAAGGGGTGCGCACGGGTTGGTCCTTGAGCGCGGCCTCTATCCGTGACGGTGGTAGTCAGGGCACATCGGCACGCAAGTTTGCTATCCGTGCCGGTCGTGCTCAGGGCACAGGGGAACGCTGGCGGAGCAGGCGTGGCATATTCTCGTAACCTCAGGGGGTCCGCAGGTGGTGGTCCCCGAGCGCGGCCGCTATCCGAGCCGGTCGTCCAGGGCGCAACCGGCGTGGCCCTTTCTCGACACAATAGGGGGTGCGCAGAGAATGGCCACCGACATCATTCTCACATGCTCCACTGCAGCCGTCATCACTCCAGCCATCATATATAAACACATGTGGGGCTCCTCGGTGGCGCAATTTTTGTTGCTCTGGCATCCTCCGGCAGGGGGACACGCCCGCCTGGGCCCCACCTCCCCCCGTTGCGAGCGGCCGACCTCTCCCTCCGCAGGTGCGCCGTGTCCAGGCGCCTCTTCTCCGCGCCGGCGCGCTGGGCGGCCGCCTGCCGAGGGCTCTGGCATGGGTTGGCGGCGCGCACAGGGGGATGGAGGGAGGGGGGAGGGCTTCTTAGAAGGAGGCTGCTTCTTAGAAGGCGCCGGCCTTACATCTATACAGAAAGGCCCGCGCCTTCGAAGGAGCAGGGATGCTTCTGAGAAGCCCTCCCCCCTCCCCCCAACCCCCTTTGCGCGTGGCTGAAAGGGGGGCGGGCGGGCGGCAACGCCACTGCGAGCTGCGCTCGGCGGGCCCTGGGCGGGCCGCGCCGCGGCGCTCTCGGGCGCCCTCGGCGCGTCGCCCGCAGAGTGCGAAGACGAGGCTTCCTCCTCCTCCTCCTCCTCCTCCTCCTCCTCCTCCTCCTCCTCCTCCTTCTCCTGCTCCTCCTGCTCCTCCTCCTCCTCCTCCTCCTCCTCCTCCTCCTCCTCCTCCTCCTCCTCCTCCTCCTGCTCCTCCTGCTCCTCCTCCTCCTCCTCCTTCTCCTGCTCCTCATCCTCCACCTCCTCCTCTTTCGAGCCAGGGCGAGGATGACATCGGACGGGGATAAATCGGGAACGTCTGACAGCTGGCGGCTCTGGGGGATGTCTCTCGGGCGCCGCGGCCTCCTCCGAGCGTTCCAGAAGGCGTTGAGATCGTTCCGGAACGCTCTGGAACGGATGTACCCTCGTCCTAGCCCTGTTCAATTCGTGCCAAGCTGGCGCGTCTGCAGCGACGCTGTGCCAGTTTTCGGGTGAAACATAGGCCATCCTCCGCGCAAAAATCGGGTACGTCGTCGCTCCATATGTTATGGGGTCGATGTGCAGGCCGGCCAGCGGATTTTGGATCAAGTGCAGCATGCCAGCGATCGACGTTCCATATCCATACCGAGGGCGAGCAGGAGGGAGCAGGAACAGGAGGGGAGGAACAGCAGGAAGGGAGAGCACGGAGGAGGAGAAGGCAGGGGAATGGGTAGGGGGGAGGAGGTCGCACACCCTACTGCTGCCTCCTTGTGACGGCCTGATATATGTTCCTCCTTCCTTGTCCTCCTCCTCCTCCTGTGTTCCTCCTGCCTCATCCCACCTGTCACCTGCATCCTCATGCTGCTCCTCCTCCTCATCATGCCTACTGCCTCCTCCTCCTCCTCCTCCTCCTCCTCCTCCTCCTCCTCCTCCTCATGCTTCATTCTCCTCCACCTCATCCTCGCTCCGCCCTCTTCCTCCTGCCCTTTACTTATGATCATTAGAATTAATTTAGTCGCCCTGTTCTTCTTACGAGTAAACTTATTACCATTATTCGCATTAGTAGTACTCTTATTCGTATTATTCTTCATCCCAGGATGTCTAACGAGATCATTCTTCCCTCTTCCATAAACCCCCCTTCCCCTTCGGGGAAGGGTTTATCACTGTTCCCTATTAATAAACACCCCCTCCCCCACCTGGGCGGCAGCCAACCCGGAACCATGCGGGCACCCCCCCCACCATCCCTATCAAAAAACATACAAAATGCACATTGCGGGGCCCACCCTGCCAACACCCTCCACAATCCCTATCAAAAAACAATGCGAAGTGCACATTGCAGCAAAATCTGGACAGTGCGCTGGCGCCCTGTGAGCAGGTTGTATTGTTCTTTGACAAGGATGGCGGGGCACCCTTGGTGAAGCCGCTTTGTGCAGGACCACCATCCGTGCCAAAACGATGCAAAGTGCACGTTGCGACAACGAGGTGGGTATTGTGCTGGCCACCCGCGATCACACTTTGCAGTGTTTTTTGACTGGGACGGCGGTGGTGCCCGCATGATGATGCTTGCTGTGCGCAGGCCCAGAACAATGCTGACGCCTCCCACATCAGCATCTGGACAATGCGGACGGGGGGGGGCATCACGGTTTTTTTTACAAGGATGGCAAGCCAAACCGCATGTGGAACCCGCGGCGAGCGTCGCGCACCTGGCGTCCGCTTTGGTTCCCAGTGGCTGTCCATCCAGTGGCGACCCCTGGCTATGCCGAGACTCGGATGCCACTTTTGTGGCGGGAGGGCGGGTGGGAGTGAGCTATACGGCTTGCGTGCGGAGAGGTTGTCTTGACCCCTCCCCCTACCCCCTTCCCTGGACCTGGATGGGGAGGGGACGGAGGTGTCAGAGCGCCCAAGATGGCCCAAGATGGCTCCAAGAGGGCCTCCGATGCTTCAGGATGGCCTCCAAGATACCTCAAGATACTGTAAGATCGCTCGAGATGGGTTCCAACATGCTCCAAGAGGCCTCAAAGACCGCTCCAAGACGGCTCCAAGTGCTTTCGGAGCTCCCTCGGGACCCCCCCAAGAAGCCAAAAAACCTTCAAAAACCTCAGGACATATAATGATGTTTGACTTCTTGCCTATTCGCTTCCGATGCGCTTTTGTGACCTCAAGATGGCCCCAAGATGGCCCAAGAGAGTTCCAATAGGGGCCCAAGAGGCCCCCCAAGACGGCCCCAAGACCGACCAAGAGCGCCCAAGAAGGGCCCAGGAGCGCCCCAAGAGGCTATGCTTATGGTCACAGAGGGGGGGGGTGCAACTCGAGGATCCCGCCTCCTCTGACCGATGGCATCCAAGTCGGCCCCAGGAGGCCTCCGACGCTCCCATGAGAGCCTCAAGAGAGCCCCAAGGGGGCTCCATGAGAGCCCCAAGGCGCCCCAAAAGAGCCCCAAGAGAACCCCAAGACCGCCCAAAGAACCCCAAGAGGGCCCCAAGAAGCCCCAAATGCTCCAAGGGGACCCCAATATCTCCCAATCCGTAGCTCCAAGAAGGCCTCCGATGCTCAAAGATGGCATCCAATATGGCTCAACATCCTCCTTCCTCTCCTATCCGTGCACGCTCTGTTTCACCATATGTGTCTCTTCGTCCCTTTTTCCGTCAGCGCTCATGGGCAGGGCTCCTGAATGGGCTGGTGGGCACTCGCGAAGCGTAAACAATTTTATACATGGTCCTCCTCCTCCTCCTCCGCCTCCTGCTCCTCCTCCTCCTCCTCCTCCTCCTCCTCCTCCTCCTCCCCCTCCTCCACCTATCCTCCTTTCTCCTCATTCCT